TAGTATATTTAAAAATACTATATATCGAAATCAAACTTATTTCCTTCCTCTCCCAAGAAAATAAACACTTCTACCTTAACAATCTTACCCTTATAATAACTACCGTCGAATAAATACAAGCTAGCAAGTATATTACAATCGCGGTCGCGGAGATTAGAACTACTAAAGCGAAGGGGTTTACGTAGGGGAGGACAAGGGAAATCATCGTCGTTATTACTATTATCGTTATCCGGATTGTCATCGTCGTTAAGGTTACCGCTACTAATGTAAAACGATATAATAGTATTTTCGAAAATCGACGGTCGTCGGGAATCTTCAAAGGTCGTTTATTGTCGTCTAATAACTTACCGTACTTACAAATATAGTAAATAACGTTAATCAAAAGAATAATACTAAGAAAACGCTCAATAAACTCGTAAAAAGTAACTTTCTCCTTAATCGTATTTAATTTAATTAGTTCGGTAGCGTCCAACTCTTCCTCTATTATACCTATTAAAGTAATAACGCGCTTTAGGCTATTAATTTATACTTCGAAGTAAGATACTTTAATAGTATATTAAGTTTAAATATAAATAAATTCGTTAATGTAATCCTTCTTAAACCCTTTCACTTAATTCCAAGCACGCTCTTCGCATAATAAAATAGTATTCTTAATTACTTTAATAATAACGTTGATAGCTTTTTCGGAAAATTTACTTTACTCGTTATACTCATTATAGAATTTATTGTACTTAATTCTAATTTTCTAAACATCAATAACTAAATCCTTTTTATCCTAATTAATTATCTTCAATTACTATTCGAAATTAATCATCTCTTGTATTTAAACGAACTCGTCAGGACCTCCGGCTCCCGAACGGTTATCCACATTAACTTAATACTCCTTTACTTTTTGAACGAAATATATAACCCATTTATCTATCTTAAGTATAATCTTGTAAATATAATGTAAAGCTTAGGCTACTTCTTTAACGATGCCGATAAAAGCCTCTATAATATAAATTTAGGTACTAATCTCTCCCTATATAGCTTTAAAAATTTAAATTATTAAAGTAAAAAATTCTTAAAAAGTAAGAGGACCGTTTCAATCCTTTATAATAGGGGACTAAATACCTAATTAAATAATAAAGCGGAAATTAATAACGCAATTACCCTTATTATCTTTATTATCGTTACTAAATAAATTAATACGGTTAATACCGTTTATAATAATTTTATTTACTTTTAGGGCGTAATAGCGTATTTCGACCAACGGATATAGCTTATTTATATAAATAGCCAAATTGCCAACCAAGTTTTATTAAGGCTATTCTTCTGCTAAGTAAGCTACAAAGGGGGATAGGGACTTAGCCGACAAATCGATTATATAATTATTAAATTTACAGGCACTGATAGAAATACGGCGTACTTGCAAATTCTAAGTAATAATACTATTGCAATATGTATTAAAAATACCATCGAGGCTGCCCTAACTTAATCGAATACGACGATAAGGAATCTCCTTACTAGTATACTATTTATAAGGAGGTACGTACTTGCGTATAGTACTAGGACTAGGTTCGGTCGGAATTATAATACGATAAGGGTTAAACGGAGAATTCGTTTTAAACATGTATTTTATACTACGTTTAAATCGTACCACGAACTTAGTAGGCGTCTCCTTCTTAAGGTCGTAGGGAGCAAAAGCGTCTTAAAAGATACGAATATTGATAGGAGTCTTGCGTAGACTCTTCCTAGAGGGGGTAGAAGTTACAACCAACTTATTAAACGACTCGTCGTCGGCTCTAATACAAAAGGAAGCATCGTCGTCCTCATCTTCCCAATTAAGGTCTCCCTCCATATTGTCTTACTACTCGAAGGAAGTATCAATATTATTATAATCGTTTTCGCTGTAATTAGCGAGCTAGTAGGGGGGTTATTTATTATCGGGGACGAGAAGGCGGCCCGAAGGCGCGTCCTGGGCGTAATTAATTATAGAAGTTGGCTCTTATCGTAATCGGTAGGAGAATATCGGGTTTAATAGATATCGGGTTCAATAACGGGTTCGCAATATCGACGCAGCCATAAAGTTCGGGGTTTAAGAAGTCGACGAAGCGATTTATCGGGTTCTCGGGTTCGTAGGGATTTTAGTTGCCTTCCTAGACGGATATAAGTAAATTTTAATTAAATATTATAATGTACTAGCTCACGTAGTTCCGTATTGTATAGTTAGGTACAAATAAATAAATAATTAAAGCTAAAGAAAGAAAGAAGGAGAGGTTATAAACTAGGTTCTAGTATATACCCTTATATAGGATGAGCCTAGATTCTGCCGTCCTCGACCGCCTTCCTTATCTAATCTAACAATACATGTGAATGCGACATGTAGGTCGCGGTGCCAATTGAATGGGCGCGCATGTCAATGCCGCTAGTGCAGCCAATCAGAGTGCGCGCATCAATAGCGCCGGTGGGTCCTGTAGGTCTTGTTAATGAGACGAATGGGTTGTGATCCATGGCACTAGATCCCAGTCGTCACACTATATATATTAGCGTAAAACGTAAATATCGCGAATTAGATTATTAATTATTAAAACGTATGGTTGAATTAAAAATGTGGGTAAATCTCTGTATTAACGTGTATATATATAGAAGAGTACTATAGAACCAGAATTGGGGGCTCCTAGAGTATTAGGGAGGTCTGCAGCCAGATTCTAGTAGCTAGGAGGCTAGTCCTTATTCAGAGCCCTCTTCTTACTAGCTGGATTTAACCCTCCAAACTAATAGTAAGTTGTAAGCCCCGGTGTAAGAGACGGGCAGGGACCTCCACTGGGGCTGGACTATCAATCACATAATCAAGGTATCAAGCAGTGAGGCGGGTTTGCTACCTCTACCCGTGCCTTGCCGCCTTGCGTGGTGAACAGGCAGGAGAAACAGTTCGGATGGGCACTCAAGCTCGTCTCGCAACAGTCAATTATTTTGAAAATTTTCCTTTCTGTTTGAGGTGAGTGAAGCCCCGGCCCCGGGGGAGACACATCATCGCCGGGCCTTGTGGAAGTGGTTGCGCAACTGCATAAAGTTGCATATGTCGTTGGTGGTTAGTTTGGTTTAGTTCAGTTCAGCTAATTCAGCGAGCGGGACGGCATGTCTCGTCGCGTCATTTGAGGTAAAAAAAAATTCGGCCCTGAAAGTCTGAAAGTTATTAAAGCGAAAAAGCCGAATTGGTACGTAAACTAAATGAAAGTCAGCCGAGAGATGGGACCATGGTGGTACGCCAGATAAGTCGAGTGAGGTTTCACAGATGACGAGGAGTCAAGGTGTGCCGTGGTTACGGGTACCACAGATATTGTATAGGGCCGTAGGTCTTGGCTCAATATCTGGCTGTCGAACTTACGACTGTCGTTCAACTACCTGTCGATACGCCGTCGTCGCCAGGCCCCGTCTCTCCTATTTGTTCGTCCTACCGTCCCAGGGGAGGAGCCCTGCGATTGTTTCACAAGACTTGTGTACGCTTGTGAGCCTCCCATCTCTCTCCTTTGAGGATGATTTGGGACCTGGTGCCTGTAGGTTGGTCACATGCTCAGTGGGAGGCCTGCCGCCCGCCGCCGGTCGCCAGTCGCCCTGGTCGGAAAAGGATGATACATGGCTTCAAGAATTGGCAATGCCTGGGGTAAGACAGACGGGCTCCATTTGTCCCATTTGATCATTGCCGCAAGACATTTTGGTGTTAGACGGAGGAACTGACGACGCGCTGGAGTCTGAAGTCTGGACGCGAATTCGAAGGATCGACATTCCTGCCAAGGCCCTAACCCCGCCGTAAGCTTGACGGACTCCTGGCTGTGCAGAGAAAGTGCAGACTGGTCGAGAAGTTCATCTGAAGTTGTGGTTCCCCAAAGAGCGCACTGTCGGATGTCGGCTGTCGGTCATGGTTCATCCAGCCATTCGTTCAGTGTTGTTTGGATGGATTCAGTTCGATGATGGATGGATCATGGAAGTCGGAAAGTGAGAGTTGCAAGCGGAGTGGAGATGGGTTGCTGGGCTTACTGGGGGGCCTTGCTGAAGGTTGCTAGGAATGCAAAAGGAACCCGTGAGAACGAAAGAACGGTCAACGGCCCAAGGATACCGGCCAAGGACCGTTCTGGCCAATTCAGCTTCTCCACCGAGATAGCGTGACGTCGCGTCAACGTGTTCGCATTGGCGTGCCCAATTTCATTTTATTTTACGAGCCGTCAACAACAAGTGTCGTCGGTCATGGCGGTGTAGCGGAGTAGGTATGTAGCTGAGAGGTTGGAGAGAAAAGGGGTTAGTCGGTCGCGTGCACGCGTATGGTGGAGGATTGGGTATCATATCGTGAATAACTTCTGTTGAACTCGATGCAGTGAGTGCCTGTTTAAGTCGGGCTGGCAGGCTGCAGTGCTGCCTATCTGCCTGCCTCTGTGATGTAAACTGTCGTTGCCAAGACGCGACGCTTGCTCCAAAACAAACTCCAACAGCATGGAGATCTCCCGGCAAGCTTCCCCGCATCGACCATGTCCCGTCATCTGCTCCACCTGACTTGACTTCGTCCGCCGTTCAACAACATGCCAAGCACATTCCGGAGACATCTCCACGCCCAAGTCCCAAGCATCAACCGAAGGCCAGAACACGGCGCGTCTTGGCGGCTTCGGGCGCTCCCTGACACGTCCCTTGGCCGCATCCTTGGCGACATCTCCGAAGGCTCTTGGCTCCCAGTCAAAAGCCCTGCTAGCGAGCGACCCGACTTCTTGGTACGCTTCCACTTTGGAGAAGACCGGACTGTGTTTCTTTTTCGGTTAAGTTTTGTTCTGCAGCCATCCATGGCCCATCCGCGCTTTTCATGGGTCTGAATGGGTCCTCACCTCACTTTGTTTGACTCCTTTTCAAAGCTCCCGCATTCGAGAACGCACTGCTTGGAAACCCAAACAGCAAACCCGGCCGCCATCCTGGGAAATTCCTGGGATCCCTGGGATCCTACAGCGTAACCCTGCCAACTGGCTCCTCCTCAGTCATCCCAGTCCTCCTCCCAGTCCTCTCCCCCTTGCCGCTCGAGTACGTTATCTGTACTTAAAGGATCCCCTGTCCCGAACCTCCCGGATCGATTCCTGTCTTGAGACCTCTCTGTGTGATACTATGATCTCACTGATCATTCCACCGAGACTCCTGTCAGCTTAGTTCAACTGCAGTGCCGTATCATCACACATATCTGCCGCGGGTCTCTGCAGTGTTCAGCATCGGATTTGCCAACCGAGTCCGGCCTTATCTTCCATTGTCTTGTTTCCTGTTACACAACTTAGACGCCGTTGTCTCTGTAACTACCACCTTCCTCTTTTCAGCTTTTTCTATAATACAAAGAGGCCCGGAGTGAGATCCCAGCCCTCCAAGAGGTTCCCCACCGGACACTCCTTTCTCGCTACCACCAGAGCGACGCTCCCTTGACAGCAAGTTCCCAAGACAAACTCCATACCACATACGTCAGTTCTCCGGGTTTTGTTTCTTACACATCATCATGACTTCAGCGGCGAACATGGCTGTAAGGGAAAAGCGACGAGGGGCTTCCCAGCAGGATATCGTTCAGATGGAGGTTCGAAAGGCTATGACGGCGGCCGAGTACTCGCGACGACAGTTTGTCCTCAACTTCGCCGCCAGCAAGAACATTCAGCTTCTCATCCCCGGCAAGAAGGCGGATGCGATCAAGGAGGCCGAGGAGTGGACGGTTGTCTGGCTGGCCCAGAACCAACTCACTACAGTGTCCAACGATTTCTTCAAGTATACAGTTGACTCGAGGCTATGGAGCAAGCTCGGTACGTTAATATTCATCTTCCCTGGCTGAGGCATGACTAATCTCTCGAGCAGTCGGTGACGAAATTCCGTTTCCATTTGCTTTTATGAAATGCCCCAACAACCCCAGCGATGGCGAGAACAGGAGCAGGGCACCAACACCAAAGGGTGATGCTCTCTTGACAAACCATGCCGTCGAGATTACCAGCAACACTGCCTCCGCTCCCAACCTGCCGACCAGCAAGCAAGTTAAGAGGCAGTCCCTTCAACGGTCGGAATCAGATAACGAGACCGTGACTAGAAGACACACAGACACCAAGAAGGCGAAGACAACCGGAATTCCCCTGGATAAGGCGCGCAGTCTCTCGCTCGACAGCGTGGACGACGACCTGAAGGTGCCCAAGAAGCCTAGCAACCGCTTCTTGGTGCGGTTGAGCCGCTCGTGGTCTCGGCGGGTTTCATCCTGAATGGGCCATATCCATTTCTCTAACTTCAGCAGTTTATCATCACTTCATTATCAAAAGTGGAAATCATTTATCAGTCACGGACGGCAAATTGTATTTTTATCGGCATTCCACTCCCAGCTTCACAGGTACCCAACGGCCTTTAATAAAAACGATCGGCGAACAGAGAAACGAACACGGCTTATCAGTGCCGGGAAAGATATCGAAAAGGAGAAAGGGAGGCCGCCGACCCACCTACACAAACATCGGCAAACCTTCCAGGGCTGAAAGTTTGAAGAAGCGAGTCCTACATATTAACACGGCACGCGGGCCCAACGACTTGGTTTCCGGGTCCTGGGTCCTACAGCGACGTGCCATTCTGTGCCAGCCAAGCCGTGGCACAATACCTCCTTTCCAATAACGAAGGAGCGGGGAGGGGAATTATCATCAGCATCACACACAGGGAAGATGGAGGTGGGCATTACCCAAGGACTGGTTCAAACCGGCAGTGACCGGCTCGCGGTGAAGCGTGAGCGGCAAGCGGATGGGAGGGGGGAAGACATGCGGCAGATGTGCCAAGAGGCTTGGTATCCGCCGGGAAGGAAGGAAAACGGTCTTGGCTTTTCGGGTGCGTGGTTCTCGTGCGTGCTGATCACGTTGCGTTGACACCTTGGCAATGGCATGTGCTTCCCCATCCCTCGGAAGGCGGGAGACGACGGGAGTCGTCGAAGAACGAGAAGATGATGGAGAAGATCGAAAAGAAAAGAATGCGAGAACGAAGCAAAACAGAACAGAACAAGCGATCGGAATCGAAAACGAACGATCAACGAAGCGACAAACGTGGTCTTGGCCTTCCTTGCCAAGGTAATCTGAGATACCTTTGGCCTCTTGGCTCCCTTGGCCGCCTTCACCGTTGGATCACTTCCATCCCTTATTTCTTGGGACCGGCAAACCGGGTCTCGGATGGATGATACGCGGTACTGCGGAACCTTGGAAGGAATCCAAGGCGGCCAGGACTTGAGAGAGAAAGTCGGAGGAACATCCGATTTTTGGGGAATACCTGGAAATCGAACGGGACGAGTGTGATACTCACACAGTACGGTATATATCAAACTGTCTACCTACCGACCTACTTTTTGGTGGCTTGGGGCAGTGCCTTTCTTGGCAACACGCTGCCGAGACCGCGGCTGAGATCCCGATAGGTGTGTCTGTTGACAGGTCACTATCTGTCGTGAGAGACGACTCCTAGTTTCGGTCGGCCGAAAGGTCACTGGACTTGATGCAGTCGATGTGTGCGACATGGCATTAACATGATGGGTTTGGTTTATTTTAGGTTTTCCGTTGTCCCTTTTCCCCTGTGCTATTATTACTATTTTTTATTTGCGTTTTCTTTTTGGTTTCGGTGTGTGTTTGTTTGGTTTTGGTTTGTGTGTGTGCATCTCCTCATTATCATATCATATCATCATAGGGCTTACAGTATTACTAGGTAGCGCAGGTGTTGGCTGGTTGGGTTGTGTCTCTGGCGTGTTGTTTGATTGGATTGGATATATCGCATGGTTTTTTTTTTCTTTGCTTTGCTTATCGACATCATCGTGAATGGTTTGGTTTCTGGTTTTTGCTTTGCCTTCACAATACTTTTGGGGGCCAAAAAGGATAAAAAAGTTTTCATGCTGGTTTTTTTGTTGGGATCTTAACAAGCGGGACCTGGGACCTGGATGATACATGGTTTCTGGACATTTGTGGACGATGAATACCCTACCTACCTCTACCTTACCCTTCTTTGTAATCTACGCTTATAGCTTCTATCGATCTCCTTTCAGATTTGGATCTCATTGATGGCCTGATGGGGTGATTGTATATGTGAAACATGCTCCACTTGATGTTGACTGTCTTTGAACTTGCCGTATCTATGCCTACGATACCTGGAGTATTGGGTACCAGGCCCTCTACTATCCTTCTTCATTTGGCCCAGGGTCAGAAGACCTTTGTTGACTCTTTGCAAAGCTAGATAGGCGAGGAGCAACTGAGACATCCAAGGTTTCCATATTGACTTCATCATCACCTTGTGTATGATGCCGCTGTCATACAAGCGCCTGGAGTCGCCATCCATCATCCGGATTATTTGTTGGAGCGCTTTTCAGCACACAATCAGCAGCATCAGCACCATTTTACTTTCTTTCCTTGGCCGCCTCACCAGTCCATGGAGCCATGGACGACACCTGCAACTCACAGCAGCTGGTAGATAAGGACCACGGTGTGCATATGAGGTTCAAAGATTACGACAAAGACCAAAAATTGTCGAGCTTCACAACAACTGCCTATCAGAACGGGTACCGCATATCGCATAAGAAGATTTTGGTGTCGACGCCATTGCCAACAGACATCTATCTAATTCTGCCTGCTCGTGGATTATTCTTAATCCTTGAAACTGCATTGACGTATGGATTATACGCTTACGAGGATAGAGAAACTATCCATCAGCAAATGGGGCGGCTCGGTGCCTTATGGGGGTTTATGTTCGCATGATGCTTGGAGAGAGAGTATCCGAAGGTCAACCAGCACATCTACCCCCAATCCCCAAAGTGAGCCCATCACCAACACCATGAACTCTCCACGTTCTTTAACAATGATACCCCATTTTCTTTTCTTTGTCTTGAGCCTTACCCCTTTCTCTTCTCACATGTCGTTATCGACGTGATTTACGCGATACTAAATACCAAATCCATTGAAAGGAACCTTGGAGATGAGACGTTGTATTGTCGCGCTGTGAAAGAGTTTATCCATACCCATAGCCATCCAGCTCCTTGAATATTCACTCAACGTCCATATATCCTTCTCTTGCCCTTCCCTTCCCATGTTGTGTCAATGTTAAGAAGACCGGACGCGATTCTTGGTTCTGCAGATTTGCGTGCTTCTTGGTAGTGTTGGATACCTGCGTCGTCATGGTGCTTGGGGCAAAGAAAGCCGACCAGCATTGATATCACTACGCCATAGTCCCAGATATGTAAGTTATACACTGGTGCTTTCTCCAAAGCAGTGACGGGAATCTCCATATATATCACACTTATTCTTTGCCACGCGTCTCGAAACTCCATCCCAGGATAGCTGCCCAGCACGCGTTGCTGTGAAACAGCTATTGATCCCGCCTTCTTATTACTCGAGCCAGCTAGTTCGATTTCTCATAGACTTTCGTCTGATGTACTTTGCGGTTAGTCATACGTCAAGGTTCAAGTGAATGGACTCCATTTTCGTGGGACCATTTTGCTGCCTGCTGAAAAGAGGCAGCGAGGACTTCACCCTCGCGGTTGTCTCTCCTCCTCGTTTTATTTCTTTCTGCGACATCAATCTCTTGACCAGTACAGCTTGGGTTTTCTGCACTTCTGAATGTCTGGGAGATGGCCAGCGGAGTGAATATTACACAAACGGTATTCGCCCACGAAAACGAAAGTTCAGAACCTGGGACGAACGCTTGACCCGCTCTTGCCAGAACTACCACCCCCACCTCCAAACCTTCCTTCCTTCCACAAACAACCTCCTTCTCAACCCAGTGGGAAAGCACTCTCCTACATCCTCATCTCTCCTTCCTTCTTTTGCGCTCCTTCTTCCTCCAGCTCCAGCAAATCTTCAAGCAACAGCAACCATGGCGGATATGGTCGATCCCAATGCCCCGCCCCCCCAGAGGGATGGCTACGACTCCGATGGAGATTATGACATGGGCTACAACGATGAGGATTTTGACGCATTCTTCCAAGGCCTCGAAGAGTTCAACGGCGGTGCCAGCAATCAACCACCTAGTCCTGGCAACGATATCCAGCGATGCGCGAACCTGGCGCGTCAGATTCTGTCCAGGCCGCCGCCGCCGGCCGAGCCTGCGCCGTACTATGAACCACATGAGTCCGCATTCGACATGGAGGAGGCACCTCGGGCACCGCCGGCACCCCCAGCAGCACCCGTCTACAAACCAGGAGTTCCGCCAATCCCTCCTCGGCCTTCCCCCACCTTTCGCCTTCCTTCCATCGACACCGTTTACGATGATCTACTGGCACCGAACCCTCCTCCGCCGGAGCAAGTCTACCTGCCGCCACAAGGCCCGCCGCCTTTTGGTCGCACTCCGCCGCCACCACCACCGGTAGCACCCCCCGTGCCACATCACGAAGACGATGTGCTCGAGGTGATCGACCCCAACGGAAACATCATTATCGGGTCCGGCGGCCCGCAACGGCAGAGATTCCTCGCCAGTACGGCCGCCCTTCTCCGCTCCTCTCCTGTCCTCGCCGCAATTATCATGCCCGAGCGGCATAATCAGGCTAATCAACAACCTGTACCCAAGCAAGAGCCTGGAATGGGTCAACAGCCCCCACTTCCTCCGATGCCAAATCCTCTACGCTCACCTGCCGCCTTCCTAATACCGCCCGAGGAGGATAGATCTTCCCTGCCGACCCTCTTTATCCCGGACGTTGAGGACAGGGTGTGCAAAACCTTCCTTCTCATCATTCATGGCTTTCTCAATAGAGTTGAGAAGAGTTTCAAGAGTGTCCAGCTCCTTTACGACCTCTTGATGTTTACCCACCGCTACGAGATGACTCTGAGCCTCCAGTCTGTGGCAGTCCCGTGGCTAAAAAGGATCTACCACGAAAATCCTCTGCGTCATGACGAAGTGGCGAAGCAGCTGTGGATTGTATACGAACTGGGACACTTGAAGATGATGAGGCATACTATTCGCTGTATGGTCAAGACGGCGAGGATCAATAAGGACGGCCAGCTGCTCGGTTACGGAGCCCAGGAAGGGAAGGATGAGTATACGCAGTGGGCTCCGTTGGTGCACTTGGGTTTGCTGAGTAAGTCTATGCCCCCTTTCACTTCACTAGTGATCGGATGCTAACAAATGTTGAAAATAGGAGACATCACAATCTGCCGACAGCGCGTCATGAGCCGGCTCCTCTTTGAAGTTGAGCAAGTGATCGAGCGTCTCACCTCCTCCCCTCCAGTCCTCCCTCCCCACGACTCCAGTGACGATGACGAAGTCCAGAACGCCAGAGCTAGAAGTCACGATTCTAAAAATCCCAGACAACCCATCGAGATCCCGCCAGACGACGCCCCTCGACAAGACGCCCCTCGACAAATGTGCGTCTCCCGCAGGCCGCCCGGGAGAGTCACTCACGCGGTCAATTGCGACGCCAGCATGCTCGGAGCTCTACAACGTACACTGCGCCAGGAAGGATGGGCTACCATGGACTTGACTTGCAGTCCGAGTCATCTATACAGGCGGATCAAAAAGATTGGGAAGACCTCGACAGAACAGGTTGTCATCACGCATACGCTCAAGGGCCATAGGGCGTGCGATCCGTTTGGGGATGACAAGTGGATCAGGTTGGATGACCTGATCATGGAGGAGGTGAAGATGATTCCCTTCGACGTCGAGGAGCTCAAAAAGCGTGGAGGAATGATGGGGTTCTCGATTCAAGATTGGAAGTGAGAGCGAATTTGGGAGTTGGAATTACACCAAGCTTCGCGCTATATTTGCCAGGTCTTGAGGACGCCTCAGAACCGGACAACATAGGTTCTGTAAATGCTTGTTTGGAACGATGCGTTTAGTCTTGGAGGATTGGGATGGCATGGAAACGGAGCGCTGTGTTTCGGAGAGTGGGCTGATGGGAATCGGTTGGATTATCATGGTTCCCGATGTACACCGCCATGATCTCAAGCAGACGAGGAAGTTGGGAAGTTACTTCGGGGTAAGAGTCCTCATTGTCACCGCAAGGAATATAGCTCTCGTTGCTTACACCACATTGGTGGCTGTTGTTGGATTGTGACCAGAATGCATCAAAGTATCCTTGCAGTGGTGACAAAGGTCACTCGACATCGCAATGTATCGCCCAATTCTAGGGGAACTGTTCTAGGATAACTTGAGAGGATTGCCTTCCCATATTATACAGTAAATAATGGAATCAGGAAAGATTTGACGTTGAAGTGGTTGAGTGATGGAGGAGTGTCAACAACGAGTCCGGCATTTGTTGGGGAATGTATATCCAGGTCTCCCGTATCCCACCCTAAGCATTTAGTCCGGTGATCTCTCAACATTTAGTCCGGTGTATCTCCCAACACCTCAATTTCTACTAGTAGCAACGCATCCGACTTTCCGTACTTCTTACCAAGAAACTGAAGAGACTTTTGCATCATCTGCTCAAATAGTGTTGGGAAATTCCTTTTCGCAACTCAGCTGGCCCAAAAGGGGGCTTTTTGCTGCATTCTGGGTTGCAGCTGAGAGCATGTTTGCTGGAGGAACATGTCTTGAGAAGAAAAGAGGTATGTGCAACTTCCCAGAGAGGACGAAACTTGAGACTTGGATAGCGACCCCCTTTGTTGTTCGCCTTTTCCAGGACTTCCTCGGTGCGAGCGGGAGTGCTTCGCTCAGTTCGCATCTTGAAGTTCAATGGGATGAACCCCACTCCCAATGGACGTCACTCCGCGAGTCCGAGCATCAGCAACGAGCAACGGCGAATTGAACCATTGGACAATTCGGATCCTGAAAAGTGAGATTCTGAGCTGCAATTTCAGCAAGAGCCAGAAATAAAAGGATTGTGTAAGAAGATCAACATGATTGAGACGGCGGAGGGTAGGAACGAGAGAACGGTCCGACTTTAACTGCCCAGGCAAGCACCTACTTAGTGGACGCCCTGGACGCTACTACTTGTAGGCGAACTTGTGGAGGCCTGGGCGCGCCCTTTGGTCGACGTCGGGTCCGCTAAAGAGCTTGCCTTCTGCGGGGAAGGCACTACTGCACCACTTCGGCTGTAACATCGTCACTTCAAGGGCGAAGTGTCAGCTTCCATGATGTTTCAACCGACGTCGATACTCATCGATATAACACAAGGTACTTAGCTTCCTGAGTGTAGTACCTGCTTGTTGAAGTGATTCGTCATCTGTGAAATCCGATCGACCTCGGAAACTGTGGGCTGTATAAGTACCAAGTGGATACGTCCGCTCCCATGCCAATTTGTTGGGGTTGATGGGCGTGACGGTTGAAAGCTTAAATACAAGAGCAGCTACCCCGACTCACAACTCTCACTTTCATCATCATTTCCAGTCAAGTCAAACATTTTCTTTCAAAGTCCAAGCAAGCATCCAAAATCAGTAGTCACCATGGCCAACCAAGACCAAATCACCTTCTTCGACATCCCCACCAAGGATGGCCGCACATGGACTCTCAACCCCTGGAAGAGTAAGACCCCCCCCTCCTTCTCCCATCCATCACCACTCACTTCCTTCATCTCATCTCATCGCATCCCCTCCCCTCCCCCCCTCAACATAGTGAACTAACTAATTATCCTCCTCAGCCCGCTTCGCCCTCAACTACAAATCCCTCCCCTACACCACCACCTGGCTCGAATACCCCGACATCGCGCCCACCCTCTCTCCCCACCTCCCGCCCGCCGCCCCCGTGCCCTCCACGAGCGCATACACCATCCCGGCCATCCGCTTTCCCGACGGGACCTACATGATGGACTCCAAGAAAATCGCCTTGGCCCTCGAAGAGCGCTACCCTTCTCCCCAGTACCCCTCCCTGCACCTGGACTCGCCCGTACTCGCCAAGTTGGAACCCATCGTGTCTCGCTTGCTGGGAAAGGTGGTTGGCATCTTCGTCCCCGGCGTCGCGAAGAAGGTTCTCGGCCCCAAAAGCGCGCCGTATTTTATTCGCACGCGGGAGGAGGCGTTCGGGATGTCGATTGATGAACTCGAAAGGACGCAGGGTGGGGTCCAAGTGTATGCGGAGAAGATTGGGGAGGAGTTGAGGGAGGTTACGGCTATGTTGAAGGAAACTGCAGGGCCGTTTTTCGAGGCTGGCAAGGTGACTTATGCGGATTTTGTGTGGGCTGGGTTTTTGATCTTTATGAGGTATGCGGATGAGGAAGGGTTTGAGAAGTTGTTGGAGGCTACGGGGGATGGGGATGTGCATGAGATGTTGTTGATGAGCGTGTGGCCTTGGGCGAGGGATGATATCTGATATCCGGGGGCAGAAAGGGGTGGAGTAACAGGACTAATGGGTGACAGAACAACATTACAACTTCAGAATAGTGATATGATTGATTTCTCGCGATGAAGCCAATCCCGGCGCCTATGGGAGCCAGACATTCCCCAAGGGTCTCTTCAGCACAATCCATTCCGCTTAATGAGTTGTTGTTCGTTGTGGATATATCCGGCTTACGGTCCGGGGCTTCGACGATGACTGTTCGTTTAGAGGGATGTGGCACTTTTGGTTCATGACATCAGTTACGTTTTTCGATCATCAGTACATATGGCGGTTGGTAGGAGACCTGAAATGGCCATCCATGCGTCAACACGAGTCAAACATGACTTATTATAGCTTCTAGCGATGCGCACAGATCACAGAACACAGGAGAGCATACATGAAACATAGACAGTTGAGGTTGAACTTCAAATTGTTTTATTTCATTTCTTCATTCATTCATCACAGAGCCAGCCCTTTACCTGTCACGGCCGTAGGTGGCAGGAGGCGTAGGCTTGTTGTCAAGAACAGCCTCAATCTCCTCCATGATTTCAGGAGTGAGCTTGTCGATAAGGGGCAGAGCCTTGAGGTTATCCTCAATCTGCTCGACCTTGGTAGCACCGAGAATGACAGTGCTGACGTTGGGGTTCTTGGCAGCCCAGGCAAGAGAAAGGTGAGTGACGGTGGCACCGAGGCGCTCGGCGATCTTGGTCAACTTGCGGACCTTCTCGATCTTGGCCTGACCCTCCTCACTCTGCAGTTGCTTAATGGTGTTCTCGAAGAAGGCCTTGTTGGTGGCGAAGCGAGAGTCCTCGGGAATGCCGTCGTTGTACTTGCCGGTGAGCAAGCCGCTGGCGAGAGGAGACCAGATGGTGGTGCCGTAGCCGTGGTCCTTGTAGAGGGGAGCGTACTCGACCTCGAAGCGCTCGCGGTGGAAGGCGTTGTACTGGGGCTGCTCGACGACGGGGGCAATCAGGTTGTGCTTCTCGGCGAGGTGGATGGCCTCCTTGATCTGGACGGCGCTCCACTCAGAGGTACCCCAGTAGTAGGCGAGGTTGAGGTTGCGGATGACCTGGGTGAAGCCCTCGACGATCTCGAGCATGGGGGTGGCGGCGTCGGGACGGTGGGCGAAGACGACATCAACGTAAGGGGTCTGGAGACGTTGGATGGAGGCCTTGAGACCCTCGACGACGTGCTTGCGGCTGAGACCGCGGGTGTTGGGCTCCTTGCGGCCGGTACCGAAGAAGACCTTGGTGGTCAAGACGTACTCGTCACGGGGCCAGCCGAGCTCCTTGAGGGCCTGACCCATCTCGACCTCGGAAGCGCCGTTGGCATAGATCTCGGCGGTGTCAAAGGTTTGCTGTTGAAGACGCGGTTAGTTCTGGGTTTCTGGTAGGCTGGACAAAGGAGAAAGACATACAATGCCATGGTCCCAGGCAGTCTGGAGGCACTTCTTGACAACCTCGCCCTTCTGGGTACCACCGTAGGTGAGCCAGCCACCGAGGGAGAAGAGGGAAACTTGGAGACCGGTGTTACCCAGGTAACGGAACTTCATGTCCTTGGGCTCATAGGCCGTGGGAACGACGGGAGCATCGGAAGCCATTGTGTTTGTTTGTCTGGATGGTGTTGTGGAATATAGACGAGATGGACACGAAGAGAGGGATGACAGCGGGAGGAAGCTGGCTTTTAAACGGACCACAGGCAGGAAAGATCTGGAGAATGGGATGAGGAGGGGCTTGGGCGGCATTCTCTTTCAAACCCCAATATTTAGTGGAGATCCGGAGCTATCACTAATCCCAACAACCGGACGGGAGCTCCTTTTCTAGTGTAGGCGGCAGCCCACCATTCCGTCCATGGTGATGGTCGGGGCGGGGACCTCTTTTGGTACCTATCGACCGGTGGAGCTGGGAAGTTGCAACAGCGATTGCGATGGTGACGACATGCATTTGTCAACCTCTCCTTTTTCTTAAGGAGTTAAGCATTGTGTCAAGGAGTTAAGCATTGTGGCGGAAATAACTGGCACCGCGATTGTTTTCGGGAACTCTTTTTTGTTGCCGGTCTGCCGCAGTGAAAACGAGAACACCTTGACGGCCAATGGCTGCGGGGGGCGGGGTAGCTGGAGGTCAATTGCTCGATGACGCCGGCGGGGCAATCGATGCCGAATGCGACTGTCTCGGACCGTCTCCAAATTGTTTTAGTAAGCAGCTCCATGACGCAAGGAATGCTGTGGAAACCCACGTTTTCGGGAGCCGTGGAGACCCGCGAGCACTTCAACCGGTCTCGTTCCTGACAAAATTGTTGAGACCTTTGGCCGCATTCTTGGCGGGCGATCAGGGCCAACTGGGTCTCATCAATTTTGTCAGGGACGAGCCGGCCCGCCTAAAAAGATTGACCCAGTGCTCTTGTACCTAGCAAGCCGTGTGGATTGGCATGATGTCCACTGACCCAAGGAGTCGGGTCTCGTTCCTGGACGCAAAGATGGATATCGATCTCCAGAAGTGGCAAGTAAATAACGGGATGGTGTTGAAAATTTGGAATGGGCGTCCCCGGCATCACCTGGACTTTATGGGGCTCCCGCTCCCCCGGAACGATGCCAAGCTTGGGGTTCTAGCATCCGAGATACTCGGCCCCACAGACATTCCGGGGACCGGGACACACGGACTCCTCTTGCAGATAGCGGGATAATTTCCCGTCGACTTCCAGACATCACTACCGGTTGATCTGTGATCCTTTCATCACTGAAGGGTAGAGTTAGATGGCGTGGATTGCTTAAGAAAGTTATGGTGCCTCGACCAGACGCCGATTCCCATACAACCCTGGTGAGTGCAAGATCCACCGCAAACCGGACCCTGAAAAGGAAAATGAAGTTGAAGAACTCTAGCGTCAAGCTGCCTTGGAGAGCTCTTTGATTATATGGACTAGTGTACACTATAGGGCTCAATGGCGCGGCAGTGTGACGATCCGGCAAGCTTGCCGATTCACGTAGGGCAGGGAAGTGTTCCTACCCGTTACGGGAGAGACTTTCCAGCATGTTTCCATTAGAACAGGCGTTTAATCTCTACACGGGTTCATGGAAATAATCGTTCTCAACGACAACGCTTCATGTTGACATTCTTCACTTGCTCTGGTCAAACTGTCCAACCCGCCTTCTGGCTGCCCGCCTGCCAGACCTGTACCCATCAACACCAACCTTTCATCCCATCTCATCCCACCCAGCCGCCAGCCCGCACCTTCCCAGACCAGACCCCTAAGGGCCATATAATTGCCCTGGTCGGTAGCTGTAATCACCAACAACCGCTTGGCCGAATGGCGCAACGGTCTACCGTCCTAACACCTCAAACCCGAAAATTCCTGTCCGGTTGGGAAACGAAGATGTACATTCAAGTAACCGATAGCGTGTTCCACATCGTAAGCCCCGTCCACAATTTAGGATCTGCAGGTGTGAGCAGCGACAGAAGAAGGTAATACAAGTGCAAAGTCACAAAGAAAATTGGTTAGGGTGTTTCGACGGTTCACCGATGTGCGCTGTTCGGCTGAGCGGTTGTTGGTTTTTTTTGTACCTTTCTGTACCTTTTGTACCTCCTTCGGAGGGTGAGGGTAGAGGAGGGTTATGTCTCGCGAGGTGGTGCGTTCGACTCCTGTCCCTCATCACATTTTTTGACCACTTTTTCTTCCCAAGTTCTCAACGACTGCCCAAAGCCCTCACCGTCTCCTCCGCCTTCTTCGCTCTCCCACCCCTTCCCTCCCTCCTTTGCAGCCTCGTACGCCCTCCTATACACCCCAACCGCCTCCCTGAACAACGGTCTCCGATCCCTCCACCCCGTTACCCTCCTCAGCTTCTCATCACCCGTCCACTGCGGGAAATCCACCACTAGCTCCAACGGCCAGGGGTTCTCCCCCTCTTGCAAGTCCTCCGGCTTCACGTACCTCACTCTTTCAAAATCCACCCCATACTCCTCGCACAAAGCCTTCACAATGCCATCAACCGTCTCCTCCGTCCCTCTCGAAGAGACGTTGAATACCTCCCCCCCCCCCTCCACCTTGTTCACCACCTCCCCTTCTCCCCTCATATGCTCCTCGGCATCCCTCCTCCCGCGAAAGAAACACTCCGCCAGGGCCACATACCCCTCCGCACAATCATCAACATGCACCCCCTGACAAATCTCCCTCCCTTCGCCGCTTCTACTCGGCACAACCACCTGTTGTTTTCCTTGACCACCACCGCCGCCGCCGCCGCCGCCGCCCCCAGCAGGAGAAGTAGTAGCAGCAGCAGCAGCAGCAGCAGCAGCAGCAGCAGCAGCAGCAGAAAAAACATCAAACCACTCCCCGAAATAACTCCCCGATCGACCGTAGAGGTTGATAGGCCTCACTAGCACCGTCGCGTACAAACCGCCGAGACGATCAAAGATTTGCGAAGCAAGTTCGGTGCGAGGACGAAGGATGGAGGGTGGGTTGAGCGGAGTAGTTTCTTCAGTGTGCGGAGTCGGGGCCGGGGCCGGGCGCAAGCTGGTGCCCTCCTCCGGCAACAGGTGTGTCAGGTCAGCGCCGTACGTAGTCTTTACACCCCGACGTAAAGACCAAGAGAGGAGGCTTTAATTTTATTCCTTTCTCTCCATCTCCATCTCCATCTCCATCTCCATCTCCAGCCTTAGACTCAGAAGCGACTATACGCCGCAACAAAGCCACGACGTTGTGATAGTGCGCCGCATAATCAGGCCAAAAACTCTCCGTTGTGGAAATGACCACGTCAACACGACGGGGTGGTAATAACTGCGCCAGGATAAATTCAGATTCATGGGCAGCAGCAACGTCGTCGATGGCGCCGATGATTGGGGGTGATTTCCTCTGCTGCTGGTGGAGCGGATGAGGCCGTAGACGAGCCAGTCGCCGCCGGCGGCGCGGACGAAGGCGCGAGCTACGGCGTTGCCTATGTAGCCGTTTGCGCCTGTTATGAGGACTGTCTTGGGGGAATGGGTGGGAGTTGGTGAGGTCATGGCTTGAACTGAAGGAGAATTGGTGAGATAAAACGGGTGTGATAAGCGGTGGGATGGTATTTGAATGCTTTGAGAACTGTATCCAGACCTTACGGTTGTGGGATGTGGTTGTTTATGATTACTCGGCATCCGTACTGCGGGGTTGGACACCGGACTTTGAGAGTTGCTCCGGCGGTTTCTTCGATCGTCAATCGTGTCTCCGGGTTGTTAATCAGCGCTTGGACGTTGCTCGGCTGAGATTTTGGAAACGGGATTTGAGGATGAATGTTGCCTCCCGTTGGGAGGACATTCAGCTCTCTTCTCCGATCGATTTGTAAGTGGTGGGCAGCATCGAATGTGATTCACGGCGAACAATGGCATGTGCGAGGTGGTCAAGAGATACTTATCATGATTAGCTATCATCATTATGGCTACAAACTAAAGACAGAAAAAAAATCCGGAATGGTCGTTCAGCAAAGAAAACCGAGTTACGGGACGTATCAACTTACCAGTGGTTTCTTACCCAGGTGGTGTTACACCTGAACCTAGAATATCGTGAGCAGACATCAACTCAAAGAAGGATGGGATACTTAACCGAGAAATATTGTATCCGACCGTAGACAAGATGGGAACGGTCGGATGGGTATCATCACTGCTCGGCGTTAGTCGTTTACTCGTGCAAACAAAACACCAAAACAAGGGTCATGAGAACTTTACCAGCGCCAGCCACCAAGGTCCGACGCCACGCTCGTGCTGAAAAAAAGGGATTTACCATGAAAAACGAAGAGCAGATATGTACAGTCACAGGACATATGTAAAGGGGTATCGGTAGTAGGCCCATCCACCATGCCCTCAGGCTCCAAAACGCCAAAACGCCTCGCCATGTGCTAGCTATCAATTCTCTTCCGTCCCATGAGCCTCGTCCTATCCGATGACGGTTTGTGGATGCGACTGGAACTACTTGGCTGTGTCTTCCTCCCCTGACTCCTTCCTCTTTGCAAGGGATTGAACATCCTCTCTCTAAGCCTATCCATGTATCCTGTTTCCTTCCAACGGCGAGCTGCGTCGTCCGCCACCTGGGTATGGTGAGTCGGCAGCTCCGGCTTCCTAGGATCACGTTGCTGCATGCTACTCCGGACTTCTTGACCAGAGAGAGGACGCGCAGATGATGGTGAAAGACTCCGGTGTCGTCGACAGGGCAGCGATGGCTTCGTCTGCTCGAAGAAAGCTGCGGCATGATGCTCGGGCTTCGGGGTGGGTGTTTCTGATTCGGAAGTGATCGAGAGGTCCTTGGGATGATCCGAGGTTTCCTTTCCTGATGCCACTTCGGGAGTGACGTCCTCCTCCTCAGGAGCAGGTGTGGTAACCTCCGACACGTCGTAGAGTGTGGAGGCTGACGATTCCAAATGGCCGGATTCGGATTCAGAGTATGAGAGGGTACGGGCTGGGGTAAGGGCGAAGTCGGACTGGAAACCATCCACATGGGAATCCACGGACGAGTTCGAGCACATGGTCATGGAGCGCGGAGACGGCGGCAGGTGGTCCTTAACGATGGACTCCTCATCCGCAATCTCAAGCGGCTCCTCCGTCATCATGATCGGATCGTAGTACTCATCGTCGAAAAGGGAGGGGCACGAATCGGCACTGCTGGAGGTGACGGAGCCCGAATCGGCGGACTTGTGCCAGGGATGTTGCTCGGGAAGGTATGATGCAAAGTATCGAACAAGCGAATCAAGCGACCTTGTTCGGAAGAGCTGGACAGCGTGCTGCCACTGATCGGTCCCAATCAGGGAAGGGTTTCCAATGATCTCGAATGCTGCAGATTCAAGGGACTCGTTCAGTTCGCGAACTCGGAGTTGCTTCCGCTCGGCAAGGAGCTGATGTAACTCATCGGTGGTGGTGGCTCTGTTGGCGAGTTCGTAGACATCATGATGGAAAGCCTCGGGGTCGAGAATGGCGAGGCTAAAGGTGTTGTACTGATCGTGGAGCTTTGTTTCGAGGTCCTCCCTCTGTAAGCCAAACTTCCAGTAAGGCCATGTCCATCCTGGTCCGGTCGGATCGTCCATCTGGGGAGAAGTGCTGTATCAGGGGGTGGGTTCGGTGTGTCGGTCGAGGTTGAGTAGGGGTCAAAAGGCGAACAAAAAGAGAAGATTTAGTGGGTATCGTTAATTAGTTAGGCCGTAGGCAGGCAGAGCTGGAAGGTTTTGCGTCGTTTAGTAGTTGGGTGGGGGACAAAGATGAAGCCAAAGTCGAGTGACGAGTAAGGTGACGGGATGTTCAAAATCAAGACTCGTGGGCCTTGCACTGGTGCAGAAAGCCATCTAGTAACCGACAAAATGCCACATCGTGGATGATATCTATTGTTTTATTTTTGGTGTTTTGGTTGAAGGGTAGGGGGTCGATGCCGACTGGAGTCTCGATCGTTCTCAATTGCAGGTGAGCTTGAGGTTGAGGGTGAGGTGACGGCGGCGGAGATGGGGAGATGAAGGCGTTAAGCGGAAGGAGGAGGGTTGACGGAGTGAGTGTTGTGCGGGCTGGACGAGCGAACGGGGATGCGCTGGGTGTTGGGAAGACCAGAGTGCTGCGACGCCGCAGACAGGGCATCGACGGTGTCTTTCCGCGCCAGATGGTCTGGGTGCTTGGCAGAGGTGTTGCCCAATGGGATGGGTCGCTGAGGTGGGCTCGGCAAGAAAGGGCATGAAAGCGGGACACGAGGAGCTGCGCCTGCGGCCGGAGTGTTACACTCACCTAAAACCCAGCCAATCGAAGCGGCAGCCACTCACACTGATTGCTACACAACAACCTCTTCCGGTCTAGCTTTTCATTCTTACATGCGCACCCGTACGGCACAATCTTTCACATTTTTCGTCATCCCTCACTTCGCGCTGTGTCCTCCTCCAGTCGTCTCTCTCGCTGGTGTCTTTGGGTGGTGGTGCCCGGATGAAATGCACGATTGCGGTCAAAACATTGCACTTTTGACCTGGCACCCTCCCATTCCTTCCAGGTCGCCGGTGTGTACACAGGGTGACTGAGCTGTTCTTTCAAGCACACTCATCGCCCCGAAAGATCATGAATCATGGTGACTTTGTTGACGGCGACACCTTTCGAGTGTGAAGTCGAGGCTTTGACACTGCTCGCTCAAACGACTCATGACAAACTCATGACAATGGCGGCCATTCGCGGGTAAAAACAGCATAAAAATTGCAAACGCCGTCCAGCCGCTCTTGCTTGAAACAGCAATCGCAACAACGACCTTTTCGGAAGCCCACCTCCCTTCCTTCCTCACCCCATCAGTCAGCCCAGCGCCAACAGAAGAAGGCGCACCCAGCCGCAAACTTGTGCCATCCTTCAGTTTGGGGAAAAGCCGGGCAGGCAGTAGATATGCAGTTGGGCTCACTTTCTCGACCAACAAGAGCCTTGAGGTGTGGCAATACAAAGGATCGAGGGCGCTGACATCAGAAACGAGTGCGACTTGGAAAACAAGTGTCGAGATCCGAGTCTGACAACCTCCGACTCCCACCCAGCACCCAGTCCAAAGTCCTCACCACCAGGCTCGTCATCGGTGGGAACCTCTTCCCTTTTATGGTTCAACTACGTTTGGTATGGCGGAAGCCTGATCTCTGAATCCATGAGCACACGGGTTGGCGCGCGTGCTTTCGGTGATAATGACTGAACCAGCTCAGTACCAGAATCTTCACCGCGGTGAGCCTCAGAAACACGAAACAGGGAAGCGACCAAGGGCCATCGGCGATAGACCAGATGGCATCAACTGACGATAGCAAGTGGCTGCCTTGACAGCTGACGGGCCCTCACGTGGTGCTGCCTCGAGAACACGCTTCCCAATCAGGTGGACCACGGATGAACCAGTCAGACTCGATTGTTAACGCTGTTCTTGGCCATCGAGGGCAGGGAACATGGCGCCAATAAAGCCTCATGAGGCCTAACACCAGCATGGGATGGTCGCAGGCTGTCGTCCTTTACTTAGAAATATTATATCCTGCTTTCCTGGCCATCTTCTGTTGTGTTTGAGGTTCCGGCTGATGGCATTTTCGCAGTCCTTGAATCATCTGGTCGTCCGTCTCAAAGTCGAGATAGACGATGCGACAGGGCACTGTGAGGCACTGCACTAACATGGCAGCACCGCCCTCCACGGAAAGTTGTGCTAGCTAGGCACCAGCCTCAGCTCACTCACTATCTCTGTTGGGGGTCATCTCTTCTTCGTCGCGTTTCGATTGATGACTCTCTCCCCCCCTCTCTTCCACTTCCTCTCTCTTCTCTCTCGCTCTGTTCTGAGCTTCTCTGACCCCTGGCGCACACATCTTGTCTGACGTTGCAAAAGAAAACGGCCCGGGACTCCCGTCTTCCATCTTGTTCGGCGAGGCTGAGACTATCCCATCAGGAGGCTTGCTCTCCCACCTGCCCTCGTCTCGTCCGTTCATCTGACAACCTATTGATGGTCATTCTGCGACAATAGCAATCATGGCTCCTTGAACACGACAATAACTTGTTTTTGTCTTTTGGAGCCCGCTGAGTTTGTCGCAGCAGGGCTCTCGCTTGGTTCGCATTTAGTCTGACCAACCCGCTTCTATTCTTCTTTTCAGCGGTAGTCTGCCGAATCACCTTTACTACAGCTGTCATTCGCTCTATCTGCGTCGTCTATATCACCGCCTACCATTCTCCCGTTGGTTTGACAGGCCGCTTTAACCATCGTTCAACAAACACAAACATTGCAATACCTTGTCCCTCGATCCGTGCACCGGTCCGCGGCATGGTTGACTCCAAGGAAACCTCCGAGTTTTCGGAGAAGACGGAAGCCTTCTCACAGTCAGAGATCGAGGCGCGGTTGCGAGATGCCCGCCGCGAGAGGGAGGAACTCCAACTTGCCATTAACAGCACCGTCTCGCTCGATAGCCTAGTCATTCCACCGGATGAGGACATTCGCATTCTTGTCAGGCCGACCCGAGGGCGATCGGTCAGTCCGGGTCCGGGTAGTCTAGATAACTGCAGGTGGCTGGCTCTGCGCGCCGAGGTTGCAGAGAAGGACCAGACTCAACACAAGGTGCTTGCTGTTACGCAAACATCCCGGGATATCAAGTTCTCCGTCCGGATTCCTGGAGATCTGACAAGGCCCACGCTGTGGTGCGAGCTCTATTATGATCCGGCCAGCGATAAGCTTATCCTTGTCAATCGTTCCGGTAATCCCTTCATCCTATCCCGGGCCTCTACTACCGCTTTAGGGGATATCGAGGAGTATGAGGTCAACCCAGGCTTCAATAAAGATGTGTTTCCAGGCACCTGGCGGATCAGGTTCTACCACTCCGATGTGCTTGACTTTCGCATTCTTGAGAAAAAGCCAACACTTTTCCGGGTTCCCTCTATCGATTCATCAAATCCGAGCCAGCTTGTAAGGAAGCGCTCCTATATGGGCGATGAGGGAGATGAAAACTCGAGCAACAAGAAACCCCGAGCATCGGAGGATATCGAAATCAAGAAAGAAGACACCGACATCAAGAAAGAAGATGGTGTCATCATGTTCTTGCCAGCAAAGACGAAGCCGCTCGTTTTCCCAATCCCGACCGGGGAGAAAAAAGAACTTGTTTCCGCCAACGGCAGAAGAGAGCTTGTTGCATCCGACGGCAACCTTCTTCAGATTCAACCTGACGAGACGGTCCAAGTTACTAGTGGTGGCTGCGAGCTTGACGAATACACACTCACAAAGAAGTCAGACATTGCCTCGTCAAGCTTATCGAGCGTATTTACCGCCGACCACTCAAATGTACCAGATGGAGTCATTGTCGTCAAGGTGCTCAAGACCCGAACTCCCGCCACCGTCAACAACACCGCTATGGAATCCAGGAACGTGATCCATCAAGCCGACGTCTGGCTTCGGGAGCTTCAATATCAAGAGGACCTCCAACACAAGAGTATCGTACGTCTTTACGGCGGCGACGCGCGCTTCCTGTCTTTGTACATGGAGCACGTGGATGCCCGGGATCTAGCGTCCAAGGGAATGTGGCGACGGATGGAGAATGACCGTTTCGCCGGTGACCGATCAGACGCAAAGCGCATCGTTCGGGACATTGCCAGTGCCCTGCACTACATCCATGGACGTGGTCTAGTCCACAACGACATCAAACCCGCCAACATCCTCTATAGCAGAGAGCGTGGGGCCGTCTTGTGTGACCTAGGTCTATCGAGCCGCGCTAGAGACCCCCCTTCAATCGGCGGTACACCGTGGTACATCCCACCAGAGTTCATTGCTTTGAAACAACGTGGTACCCCCAGCGATGTTTGGGCCCTTGGAGTGACCATGCTGTACGTCATGGGCAAGATCGCCTTCCCAGATGCGCGTGGCAACAGAGCGCATCCCCAACATCTTCATTGGCTTATTGCCAAAGTTCACCCGAACCCACGCGATCGAAATCCTCAGCCGAGCGCTGTCAAACACATGCAGCAATGGTTGGGTGAAGTCAACATAGCCCGTGCACAGCTCAATACGCAAGATGAACAAGAGAGGCTTGTGTACGATATGCTATCACCAAATCCAAACCAGAGAATCACGATGAGGGAGATCATGGCTCGAGTCCACGACCAAATCACGGAGAAATGAGGAAGTACAGTATATGACATATATCGACATCTACACCGGAAATAAACACCTGTATCTACGCATTACTTTGGTTAAAAGCAAGGAGTTAATATCATCTCACACAGTAAGTTCATAGCCCTCCTTCTCGGGTCCTCCTGTGGCACTCGCAGACGTGTCACACTGGGACATTCCCGAGTACCTCAAACTCGTTGTAGCGTTGCTCACACATGGTAGTATTAGAACTTTGTATTTCCTATCTTGTACACCACCACAAGCTTTCCGTGGTATAACCACCAACAACTCGAACCCCGTTCCCCAATCACAGCACCATACCAGTCACAAAGCTCAACGCCATACCCACAACGGCTGTGAGAGCAACGGTGTTCAACCCAACGAATGAAGCACCACTCTTCTTGTCGTCCGCGCTGTCGCCGCCATCGGTGCTATTGCCGCCATCGGTGCTATTGCCGCCATCGGTGCTGTTATCACTCTGCTCCTTGATCTGAACAAACGACACTTTCTCATCAGTCTTGCACTCATCCTTCGACAGCGCCGTGGCGTTGGCGCGGAAGGTGATATCGGCGCACTGTTACCACTCCTCATTAGCAAATCTCCTTTTCCACTCATCACCTTCCCTCTCAAAGGTCACCAAGAAAACTCACGTTATACAAAGCACTCCCACTCTCTCCCACCGTAACAACCTGGATACTCCCCTCCTGGCCATCCGACGGGTTCAAGCCCTCAGGAAGCGGCAGGTCAACGCAAAGCGTGCCCGCTCCCGTGACGTTCCAGAACGTGGGTCCGGTGAGGGTGTAGTTGAAGTTGGTCACGTTGCTGCCCAGACCGAGGTTGACGAACACGTACTCCCACGGGTGGTGCAAGTCCACCTTGAGGCTGCCGCCTTTGAGGGGCCAGTCGGTGCGGTTACCAGAGGTGGAGGTGGAGGCGGGGACGCCGGCGCCTGTGGGTGGGAATGGGGTGTTAGTTCCAGTGATAGATGGGAAGCGAGGGAGGAGGGGAGAGGAGGGAGGGAGGGACAAGGCTTACAAGGATATTGCCATTGGGAGTAGTTGGTGCCGGACTCGAGAGTGTCGGCGCGCCAGGCGGGGTATTCGAGGGCGAAGTGCGCGGAGGCGAGAGGCGCAATAGCCGCTGCGAAGAGGAGAGTTGCGGAAACCATTTTGGTGGTGTTGGTTGGGTTGATGGTGGTTGTCGATGTTGGAGGAGGAAGAAAGCTGATCTCGCTCGGGGTTCGGCGGCGTGTGTCGCTTAAGAATCCAAATTATACCAAGTCGCGGAGCACTTGGGAGACGGCCGTCACGTCACCAAATATTCTTAATGGGTTGTTTGTTGTTTAGTTATTATAGTTCCTCGATCCGGTGGGTGACGGTGAAAGACGCGGGCGAGGAGAGGACGGGGAGAAGGCCTTGCAGTTGTTTGCGAAACCTCGAGAGAATATAGCTTCTTTATACCCCAGGCTTGGCTGCATCTGCACTTTTCTGCTTTCTGATTCGAGAATTCAAGCTGATGTTCCCATTCACCGAACCGGTTAACAATGGAGTGAGCAAGTTCCTTGTTGCTTGTGCTTGTGCTTGTGCCACCAACGTGGAATGTGCGTGGTGGAGACCCCACTATCTTGCTCAACTGCACCTCAGCCTTGATTGCATGTGCCCTTGTGTTCGCAGTGGGAAGGTACCATACCCGGTCGTGCCTTCCTTTCCATTACTGTACCTTTTTCCTACTGTAAAAGGCGAGAGCGGCAAGCTTCGTGGCAGCTCCAGCTCCAGCCGAGGATCGAACCCCAAGCGGGAGCTGTGCGGGAGTCCTGACAGCTCTCTCGTCTCGTCTTGGCAATCCAATAGCCTCGCCAAAACGGGCACTAAGTGAGCAAGTTATAAGTCAAGGCGTTCCCTCGCCAACTCATATCCTTCCAGCCAGCCCTTGCTCTCGTTGAGGTCGTCTTCAGTTCTTCGGTTCGGGTTACGCCTCCATGATCTCCCGCCTCCCGTCAGGTACGCATCCTTTAATCCCTTGTGGGCCTGGGTCTGGACCTCGACCTCAACCTGGTCCGATATGGGCATGGACCGACCGACCACCTTGGCGTTGAACCGCGAGGCAACTAATTGAACATTTTCCACGAGTTTCATTCAGACAACAGACTGAACGATCATACTAGGGAGAATTCAGCTCACGATGCCAAGCACCAGCTCACCGAGCATTGAACGGCGGTGGCTTCCATGTTGTCGTGAGTAACTTAAGTTTCGTGGGATCTTGGAAGGTTGGAAGTCGTGAAAGTGGTGGAGATGGAAGGTTGGTTGTTGTTGGGTGTTGGAATAAACTTGCTCAAATGAACGCGCATGAGCTTGGGGTCGGGTTGGGGAAGTTGCATGCTGCATGCAGGAAGGGACCACCACCACCACAGGTACGTACCGCGCAGTCCCGGATTCCAGGTTGCTTCTTGTGTTCAGAGCGTTCTAGACTTCAACTTCAACTTCGGGCTGCTTGTCGAGATTCAAAATTTGTAGTTGATTTACGACTTTTACTTCGCTTGTTACTCATGTTGTTCGGGTTCATCGCATCTCTTGTGCAATGACTCGGGAACGCACGTGGAATGCGTTTTCAGACGAACATGTTTCGAAGGACAAAGATGGGATGAACGGGAGTGGTACCTGATCGGCGCTGTCCGTTCGGACGATGGTCCGGGCTGTCGGGATTCATCAAGGACAAAAAAGGAATACAGAAACGCATGACGGCTCCTTTCTTGTAGTGTCTTGTTTACACCCCCTTTTCGCTGTACTACAATCGTTTTGCTTCAATCACAACTGAGCTTCAAAAGGACATTCTCTGCGACATCCTGACAACAATCACAAAAAGCGCCAGTGGTTTAGTGGTAAAATCCATCGTTGCCATCGATGGGCCCCGCGTTCGATTCGCGGCTGGCGCATTTGTTTCTTGTGAACGAGTCAGTTCAATTTTTTTTTGCTCTTCTTTCGCTTTTTCTTTCTGTTCTGTTCCACTTTGGTGAAAGCCGGGATTCCTAGAGTTGGGGACATCAACTTTTTGGCTGTGACTGGACGTGGCACCCGATAGGATTGGATTGGGTTGTTAAGTCCCCACTCCAAACCCGAATTTCAACAATCACAACAACGGTCCGATGGTGTAGTTGGTTATCACGTCAGTCTAACACACTGAAGGTCCTGAGATCGAGCCTCAGTCGGATCAATTGTTCTTTTATTTTTTGGTTTTTGGTTTTTTTTTTTTTTTTGGTTTTTCTGGTTTTTTTTTTTTTTTTTTTTTTTTTTTTTTTTTTTTTTTTTTTGCGATTTTCTTCTCTTTGGTTTTTGTCTCGACATCTTTTTTCGTCGCCGTTCAATAATTCAATTTTTTTTGTCGGCGATGTTTGCACCAATTCATCCGGTCTGCACGTCCCTGCGCTTGATGTTTTTTTTTTTTTTTTTTTTTTTTTTTTTTTTTTTTTTTTGGCGCGTGCTGTGCAGTCCAGACCGAACGAATCGTTTGGACCATTGTTGAAATCATCAATTCCATGCTTCAACTCCAATTTTCGTCTCATCTCCTTCTCCTTACCCGCCAGTTTGGTACACCTCTTTTGGTGTCATTGGACGCCACCAGTGCACTGTGCGCAAAGCGACATTCAGGAGGTCTTTGGGCATTTGGTTTGACCTCGGTTTCAACTCCACTGACTGGACTCGGCTTGTTCTCACCATCAATCCCGAACACCATAAACGAACGCGCTTAGAGACTCGACGTCGTTTGATCCGGATCTCGAATTTCCCCAAATTCCCCCCCCAGGTTGAGGTTTCAGTCGATCCGAAAACGAGATCCTGGGGTCGAAGCTGAAGATGGCACAGTTACAGAGCTGTGTTAGTGCCACTCAGTGTGCCACATTCCCACGTTCCTTGGGGGTTACAGGAGGACGGTTGGGGACAGAACACGAACAAGAATTGGAATTGGCAGGACCGATAGGGATGAGTTAAGAGGGCAGGAGAAACAAGTTCGAAGATGAAAGGACTGTGTGGGGATTTCTGGGGTGGCACGCGCGGCTCTAGGGTCAATGTCATGGAGTTGCTCTGTTCTCTCGATGATGAGGAACCACTGGGAGTGGTGTGTCTGGAGATGTGATGGCTAATGTGTATGTATATATGCGCCCACGACTGGCTTGTTTCGTTGGATGAAGCTCTCTCTCACTTATCTCGACATTCACACCCTCCCTCGCTAAGTCCAATCCAATCTGAGGAGAGACTGAAGCAGACAAAAAGCCTCCTACCGGTATACAACTACGTATCCAACAACTTCCACCAACAAACTTTCAAAATGGCGAACCTTAGCTTCTTCAACTTTACCATCCGACAAATCTCCCTCCTCCTCCTCTTCATTGTCGTCAACAACCTCGTTTCAGCGGCCTTCATCCCGCGCAAATTCACACGTCCTCAACTGGACCAAACCCACACCCACCCCATCTTTAAACGAAACCCGCTCCCGCTTCCAGTCCCACAAGACTTCCTCGAGGCAGTAGTCGTCCCAACTCCACCTCCTGGAGGCGTTGAAGTTGTCCCTACTCCACCCCCTGGAGCTGTTGATGTTATCCCTACGCCGCCTCCTGAAGCAGTCCCTACCCCGCCTCCTGGAGCAGGTGGTGAGGTTCTTGTCCCTGCTCCGCCCCCCGAAGCCATCACCCCCCTCCCGGAACCTGTGACACCCCTGCCTCCGGCTGTCACTCCGATCGGGCCCGCTGTCACTCCGATTCCTGGTTCTGGGGCTTGGGCTGGGAGTGGTGGGATTGGGGAGGCGCCGGTGGTTGTGACGCCTGCTGCTGCTAAGCGGACGGGGGCGCCGAGGGTGGTGAGGCGGAAGTTGAAGTTGCTTTGAGGTTAGATGCTAAGAGATGATTGGTATAGATGGGTGAGAATGACGCGGGATGAGCGAAAGAGTAGTACCATGGGTAGTTAAGGAAAGTGGATGAGGAGGTGGTTGACGACGATCACGGGCAGTAAAGAGAAGAAGGGAAGGGGGGGTGAAGAACGATGACTGTATTCTTCTGTACATTATCATTAGCCAATTGGTATCATATGCATAAAATCCCCAAAGTACCAACTCCATCCATGTCACTATCCAAAGTCCCTGCCCAGCATTCCTCATACCTCCTGCCCCTGATTTTCTTTCCCCTGACCACAGCCTCCCCTCTCAAACGGGAGTGTCCTCATCAAAATAACTCCCCCAAACCCCCTCCACCTCCGCCATATACTCCGTCGGACTCAACTTCCTCAACCCCTTCTCCCCCAGCTCCCTCTGCTCCTCCACCGGATCAATAACCGGCGTCGCCACCCTCACATTCAACGACGACACCCGTCTCAGCAACCGTTCCGGCACAGGCGGCGGACCCCCCTCCTTGGCGTTATATCGATCGATAATCCCAATCAGCTCCGAGAAAGCGTCGGCTTCTGCTTTCCCGCATTCGCGAGCTGTGGGGTTGTCCAGGTCTAGGTCGGAAGGGCTCATTAAGCGGTTTAGGGCGTCGAGGTTGTAAGTTTTTGGTTGCCTTTCGCCAGAGGTGGTAGTCATGTCGCTGTCTCCCGACCCTGAAGAGCCATCTGACTGTCGTCGGAGGTTGGGTGTGCTCTTGCTGCTCTTGTGGTAGTAACCCTGGGAGAGGCGGAAGTTGATGCGTGCTGGCGGGTTGCGTTTGCCGGGATAAAAGTGGGAGCGGCGGAGTTGGGCTTTTGGTGAGGGGGGTAGGAGTTGGGGTGATATTGAGTGGGAGGACTCCATAGACAAAGGACGGAGCGGTGATCGGGGTGGTGGTGAAGGTGGTGAGGGCGGCGCGTAGGTGGGTGGTGGAGGTGTTTCGTCTGCGTCGGAGAGACTGCTGACGTCGTCATTGTGAACGTCTGGTTCTAGTTCTGGGACCTGGTCGGATCCTGATGATAAGGGCCGTGATCGTGATGGGTCTGATCCGCATGATAGAGGTCGTGTTGGTGTTGGTAGAGGAAGGGATATTTGGTCTGACGCGGACATCGAGGGTCGTCGTGGTGATTTTGGAGGAGGTGGAGGTACCAAGCAAGCGCTTGGCGAGAGAAATTTGTTTTCGTTATGTGTTGACTTTGTGTTTGGTATCGAAAGATTTGTTGACTTGGATGTGGTGGTGTCAATGCTTGATGTCTTTCTGCAGGCAACAGGCCGTGGGAATGAAAAGTTCAAAAACGCGGCAGTGGACGCTTCCTGGGGCCGGAACACAGAAAGGGGTCTCGGTGTTGGCGATCCATTGTTCGGGATCACCAAAGGTGGAAGTGATGTCCCTCGTGCATGTCCGAATGTGTGAGATGAGGTTGGGGGTGACGGAGGAGGCCTTCGAGGTGGTTCACTGTAAAGACCTGTGATGTAATCCCGGCAGATGCCAGATTCAGACATGCTATGGCCATGCAGTGCTGCCATGCTGGTGTAAGGTACCGAAGATGGAGTTCGGGGAAGCCTTCTCGACGCAGAGGACGAACGAAGTCAAAGCGAACGAACTGGACAGTTGTTGAAACGCTCAAATACAATGCGGTGAAGAAGGAGGCTTCCCTTGACAAACCGGACAAAGCTTGTGTGGACTCACTCGAGTCAAGAGAGCTGCAGCTTTCGTGTAGATCTGGGTGGGTGTCGTCAGAGAACGAACTAAAATGGAGTAGCAGTACCAAACGAAGTGGCTGAGATTGTGCGATCACCTCACTGGTACACCAATTGGATACTCATAAAGGGAATCCTTATCCCCGACCACCGATTGACATGTTAGTGAAGCTCTTCGATCTCGTATTATTGCTCGAATTGCGACCACTGGATCCACGTTGGAACTTGGGAGTGGCACACAGCCAGGAGCAGATCTGCTGGCAACGGCCGCTAACATAGCAGTTCAGTTTTTAGCCCTGAAGCTGGCGCTGCAATTTGGACGCGTGCTCGAGTCCGACTTGCGGGGATCTGGAAGATAAAAGATTTCTTCAAGCTGATCGGCTTCATAACCTCGGATGCCTGACGGACTTTTTGAAAATTTCAGCTTTTTGCGTTCGGCGTCGTTCTGTTCTTCAGTGGGCTGGAGCGTGGCTGCGCTCTAAATATGGATCGGATGACGTTGCTCCCCAACTTCGGCTCAGCCCCGCATGGGTCAAGTTGGCCTCCGGTCTTGGCATAAGTGGAGCCACCCAACACCGGACGATCTGGGCCCACTCTGCCGCAGACGGCAGGCAAGGCATCCTGGAGTTTGCACTTGTTCTTTTTCATGAATTCCGTGTCGCCGTCAAAGTTCGTGCGATTCGACCATGCGAGAGTCTTCCAGTCTTACCCACCAAGCGCAACCTCGATTGTCAACTGACCACACAAACCTTCGCAGAAGAATCAAATACGAACCCTGACCCTCGAACGACGAATCGCGATACGAGCAACAATCAACCAAGCTGACTTCCCAGAATGTCCGTCTTGGCAACAACCATGATTCGCACCACGAAATGCCTCGAAGAAACGTGATGACCACGAGCGCGCAACGTTCTATTTACCGGCCGCTTGGTACACCGTCCTCTATACGCGCAAGTGCCATGGCTGAGACATGATTGTCAGGGGAACCAAGCGAGGATCTGCCATCACTGCCTTGCGAACTCCGCAATCTGTCCCTGCAATAAAAGAAAGGAATATCAACAGAAGAAAAGAAAGGAATATCAACAGAAGAGAAGATCGGAATTGCCGGCTGGTATTTCCAGAGATATGCAAGCCTACGTTGCACAACGTCTTGGGTGTACTACTATGTAAGCTCTGTGTAACACTCGCGGCAGAAATAGCGATGAACACCATGCATACCGAGGATAACGCGGTTGAACGGACAAAAAGACAGCTTCAATTCTCAGTCTATGCCTCTCCAAAGGAAACCGTAAAAACAAAACGACAAACGCCTCGCTTCGCTATCTAGAACCTAGGTATCCCAAAAAGCAAAACACCTGCCTGCCCGCCTGCCGGAATATGACGATATGTACAGACCTCTTTTTCCTTCTCCATGTATTTTTACCCAGATACCAATAACATCACCACCATTCCCCATGAAACAGCCCCGCCGTCGTCGTCTGCGGCAGCAGCGCCACCCGCTTCGGCAACGGCGCCAGGATCGTCAACTCCTTCGTCTGCCCCACCCCTGCATACCGATACCCATACCCATAATCCTGCCGCTCATACCACGGCACACCATCCTTGGATCCCTCTTTTGGCGACGACCGTGGCGACGACCTCGTCGACTTCAGGGAACACACCGTCGTAACCCTGCTCCTAACTTTCTTCAACTCCTCCAACCTCTGCAACAACTTTTCCCTATTCCATAACCTCTTAACATGCAACTGCTTAACGCCGTCCTCCTCCTCGTACACCGTTCCCGGTACCGGTGGCTCGAAGAGCACCACGCTCTCCGCCCAAGCCCTAGCCTGCTCCTCGTCCGCGTCCGAGAAAGTAAACGTCACGCTATCCTCGTCGTCCGGTTGCCGCATGGTGATGAACCATGTGAGGAAGTTGGGCATAGCGAGGGTGACCTCTTTGGAGGCGGCATGATACACGGCAAGCCGTCGGTAGCCTGGCACAGCCTGCGCATAAGGCGGCCGCGAATCTTCGGCTTCGAGGTAGGCGGCGTAGGCGGCGGCGAGGGCGCGGTGCGAGAAGACGAGGCTTATCCGGTCGTCGGAGACCGAGACGTCTATGGCTGCTAATGTCGGCATGGCGCGGGCTTATCTTTTTGTTGTTTGAGGTAGAAAGAGGCGGAACTCGATGATGATGATGATGATGCCCGGAGAGGTGGTTGAGACCAGCTCAACGGTGTGGGCAACGATTGTTTCGGTGTCGTGGTGAGTTGTCGTTGACTTTCTCTTTCTCTGTTTGTCTTGCGCTTCGCGAGCGGCTCAGCTGGTCTTGGCGGCGGCGGTCTTTGTCGGCGCTGCGAAATGCGAATGCGATAAAAGCCCAACCAACGCTGACGAGTCGACTTTGGTCACACCCAAATCTTCGGCAGTTGTTTGCGCGCAATGTTCTCTCTCAATGTTCCTGCGACAACAACCAAGCGACCAGCAAGGCGAAAATATTGTCAAGATTTTGGTATGTGGTGAGTAGAATCGAAAACATTAATCACAAAAAGAGCCTAGGCGCGCAGCAGTAGCAGCACATGCGGTTTAAAAAAGCCTCTAGTTTTCCCCTCTAAGATCTGACATTACAACGTTCTCCATTGTTGATAATATTATGAACCAATGAAGCAGGTCCAGTTGTTTGATGTGCCTTTTCTCCCCTCCTCTTGCTCAAATTTTTTCTCTTCCACTCTTCGTTCTGTTGCATGCAAGTGGAAGCTAGATCCAGTTAAAAGTGGTGAAGTGGCACTCTCTTGCAGCATGAGCGAAACCACTGGGCGCTGAACCGCTCGACATGCACGCACTATCCTGCTTCTGTGTGAATGGATCTTCGCGGCTCACGGGGCGGGGGAAGCGTCTAAGGTCGTTTTCGGCAAAGAGGGACTATGTAGTCATAGTCGCAGTCGCAGTCGGGCACTTACCTATGCGTTCGCTTGATGCTCCAAGAAGGGTCCAACAATGAAAGAGTCTTTTTTTTCTTATCCAATGTCGCGGTGCCCATCAACTGTGTGAGCCTGCGAGAGGGAGGGATTCGCGCGAATATCTTTGCTCGTTCTCGCATTCGATTTGTGTAGACGCACGTAGGGAGATATGGAGAATGACTATTTGCTCACTTGTCTGCGAGTCGAGTCGAGCCGTCGTGGGTCTTCCTTTTTAACCATCGAGTGCTCGCCCAATTGTTGTCAAAATCTCGGGGAGGTTCTTCGGTGCTCCATATAAAGGCATCCCGGACCCTCTCCGCATGCAACCACGGCAGGAGACTTCAACATCGGACGTCGATTTTCTGCACACCATTATCGTGCGAATCGTCGTGAGAGCTGCAAAACATGCGACGTCGACAGCTGTTGAATATCTTGATAGGTGAACTGAGGCCATCCAGCCAGCGAAGTCGGCGATCTTCGGTTTTCCTTTCTCAGTAGACAGGTAGAGACAGAGAGGCATTTTGTTGTAGCACCGCAGGCGCAGAGTCAGACTGACGAGCCGGAGTTATTATCGAATGATGCCCAAGAGACCCAATTACACTCGGGGCTTTATGAGACCACCAGCTCTGCCTAAATTTGGCCTTTGCATTTCCGCCTTCCTTCTTTCTCGTTCGAAGAGAGAAGAGCACACTCGCCAGCCTCACTGACGGGAACTTATCGAGAGGTTTCTGTTGTATTTCGGCGGCAACTCGGCTTCGGAGCCTGGAGAGAGAGACAGCTCGAAGAAGATGATCTTCTCAACATCAACCGTGAAGAAGTCTCTGCTCCTGCAATGACTTTCTGAAGTGTTTCGAATCTGCATGTAAGAATATCGACCCGGAGAAAGACCGATATTGCATGATGCCAGATGGAGATAGCGGCACAGGGTCCAGTCCACCTCCATCCATCTCCATCCATCTCCGGTCCATGATCCATACCTATCCCCCATCTCGTCCGTCATCGACCCCTCCCCGAGCCTCCTTCTCCGCGCGCTATTGTTGTGTGAGATCTTCAAAAGTCCCACCCGCGGATCGTTAGGCCGAAGCGGCGGGTGGAACCGCGCCAACGCAAACGGCCGCCCCGCCCGGGCATCGAACGCCAAGCCCGAATCGGTATTGTGTACCGTAGAAACTCGGGAGAGTCGCCATAGCCAAGTTGCAGAAAACGAAGGGTTAAAAGTCTGCCAGTTGCATTTGGCGGCCGTCAATGAGCATGTACGTGGCTGTCGGACACCTCTAACCCTGCATCAGCTACCTATGGCGAATTCCGCGAGTTTCTACGGTAGGTCCACTTCTCTCACCTCGGCCAGCCGCCAACGGGGCGGCGGGGCGGCCAGGAGTCACCGCTGGCCGCTGCACCTTCCCACCGACCCGCAGACTGGACCCAGCAATTGCACTTAATAAGGACAACTAACAGGACCCAACGTCAACAAATCGAACAGATTAACAGAGTTGACTCAACTGGCTCTGTGGTGTAGTGGTAGCATACTTGCTTTGGGTGCAAGTGGTCCCAGGTTCGAACCCTGGCTGAGCCCTGAAGCAATCTATCTGTTCAACTTTTTTTCCTCTTTTTCTTCTTTTGGCTTTTTGATTTTCAGTTCCTGAATTGGATGCAGTCGGTCGGGATCGTCCCTGGCAGGGATTCTTTTTGGGGAATTGAGGCTCAAAAGTTTAAAAAAGAAACCGGTATCCCAAGGGTTTGAAAGGTGTGTGTGTGCACGGTATGACGTCCTTTCACATGCTTGTCTTCTCCTGATGATGCGTCCATTCGTGATGGTCAGTCATAACCACGCGACCAGTAACTCAAGGAAGCAGAAGATGAGTAAAAGGAGTAAAAGCTTTCGTGTCGATGGCCTAACTGTTTATGCGGTTGATGCTTCTTGAACCTCACCATCGGGCGGTGAGGTGACGGTGATTTAAGGTTTGGTGTTCGCTGGAGGAGGTCCAGGAGTTCATGTCGAAGACAAATGTTCTAGATCACGAATGCCAGAATATACTTAGAACACCCGGTATCCCTTTTGACGTCCGATAAAGTTCTGTATGCCGAACTACATCCTCCTCAAACCCTCTCTCCCTCACGGGATTCGATCCCGCCCTGCCACCAGGACGACCTGGCATCAGATAAAAGTTTGATCTTACTTAGAGGCAAGAACAAGCGGCAATACATCGTCATTCGTCTTTCAGTCGCCACGAAGTACCCGTACCGCGTTGAATTACCCAGCTATAGCAAGTTTCATGTCCTGTCCTTCCTGAGACCGATGCTTAACCACCAGATTTTCAGTATTTGCACGATTCAACGCGAGCGAAATATTGGCTCCGACGTCCATGGGATGGAAATTGGAATGCAACTGGAAGCAAGCACAACAAATGATTCCAGTTGTCAGTATTCACAGTGAACCAATTATAAGGGAAAATTTATCATCACCACCGCCGCGACTAGAACTTCGCTCACGCAAGTTGTTCCACATGGTACGCTTTCACCTAGATAGAAAACATATCAACACAACCAAGATTGAATGAAGTGGGGGACAAACATTGGTGTCAACGGAGCGCCAGACTTAGTAACGCCGGAAATTTACAAGAGCAAACTTTGCTCGGTCATCGGACGTTGACAGACCCGAACGAGGAAAGTCGCGGTGTCCTTGGAGGAAGTTTCTCCTAAAAAGCATTCCAAGACGCTTGAAGGTCAAAAGCACACAACCATCCTCATGACACTCGGTTACCCAGATTTGAGGATACAAGATTTCCGTAGCCATATGCGAATATGAACCAAATAGATCAAATTGCGAATGTTTTCAAGTCATCAAGCCTGGTTCACTGCTTGTATGGGGAGGCCTACCCCATTATACAAAACCGGAAACTGCTAGTTCTCTTCGGCGGCCCTTGGATCTGGGATTACCCACTGGTTTTTGTGAGCCGAAAGCAACTCGCGAGAGCGCCATACGAGGATGTTAGTCAAAGAAGACACTACTAGTCCATATTCGAGCGTGCCGCTCTGCCTGGAGATAATGAGAAATGGTACACGCCTGCGATACTCCCGTGATTGTTGTCGGTGGAAAGACCGATGTCTACCTTCTTTTGAGACAACGTCGATCGCACATGATGATACTTTAAGAGATTGGACTGTGTGTCTGCCCGAACATAGTCTTCGAATCGCCAACACATCAACGTTGCTCCATGCTCACTATGATAGACTGGCTTTGGTGCTTGTTCAGGGTTTCGCTGAGCTTCTTTCCCCAGCAGCGCAGAGAGAAGCCAGTAGGGGGAATTGAAGTAATCTGGCTGAGGCCTTGGGGTCCGGTGTTCGTCATAAAAGAGTAACAAGTCAAACGCATGTGAAGGCCAGAGAGATAGACGCCCGTGTAATAGATACGGACATAACTCCAATGATAGGGGTCAATCGCGAGGAAGTTGTCTTTCAGTGTCTCGGTAGATCTTTGGAGCACTCCAGGCCAAAAGATATCCCTTCAATCGAGTGTCAGGAATGCCGAACAGCAATTGCATAGTCTCGGTCATATCATTACCTTTGCCGACTCTTCTGCCAAGCTCGGCAACCGGACAACCTACCTACGTGATAACTTCCAACTACGATGGCGTTGCTGATGCTGCTGCTTGACCACCGGAGAGAGAGAGAGAGGGTATGAATACCCATGCTTTTATCTTGCACGCCTCGAGGTCCGGTATGTCAACGAAGGGGCTGGAGGCCGCAGCTTTATCACCGCAGTTTCGCGAGATCAACGGCCCGAATAGGCGAGAAGGTCGACCGTCCGACGTTCCATTGTGTTTGAGCCGCCAGACAGACTTCCAGGGAGACCGGAGCATGGAATCCTGGCTTCCAACTTAGGGGAAAACATGTGGACTCTGGGAGATGACAAGGAAGGATCGTCCATGCCATCACACCTTGATGGCCAACGTCAGACCTCCACCACTCGGGGGGGCTTGGAAAGTAGCTGTTCTTGACCATTTGTGGAAATGTTTGACCAGCTGTGGCCTGTCTCGAGCAACATGATCCAACGCAGTAATGTCAACGAGCCGAGGTCGGAACTCTCTGGCGTGGAAATATCGTTCATGTTGTCCACATCCGGCATATCGGGCGAAGGACCGTTGTTTGGTTGTAGATGACACTCGTCCGGCCGAGTCCGTAAGCAGGGTGGACATGTAGACGCCCCGTAACACCAGACACTACTATTTGCCCATGTTGTGTACCGTGATCCGAGTCGAACGCCACGGCGCCAAAGGACTCGAGCGTCCACCTGCCAGCCAGCCCACCAGCCCACCCGGTAGCGAGGGAGCGGAAAGCACCTCTACGAGTAGGTAACCGGCGACCGAAACTTGTAGGGTGTTGGTCGATAGAGCTCCAGCATTGAAGCTTCGGGAGTGTCGAAGATAACAAGCAATCCCC